TGGATCATTTTTTTGTGGATTGTTTTTTATTTTGTTGCCACCAGTGGCAGCGCTGTGGAACCAAACTGTAGAATTTGTTTGGCATGGCCAGCAGGGAGGTGGTCTGACCCCTTTCACTGACTGGATTGATTTATTTTTTCAACAGGCTAAACCATCAAACCATGTTTATTTTTTATTTTTTGAAGAGGAGGTGGTTTGACCTCACTACCTGGAATGCTGGAGTTTTTTTGACAGGTTCCGGCATGCTGAGCGATCAAAGCAATGAAACCAGGGAGAGCTGCCAATTTCCCCTTTTTTTTGTTTGGCAGCCAGCCTGGAAGGAAGACAAATTCAAACAAACCAATGGAAGGTGGTCTGACAGTCAGAAGTGTAACTGGGAAGGGGGGCAGGGCGATCCAAAAAATCACCAACTGGGTCTGTTTTTCATTCAGAGGTGATTTGATGATTTTTCATATGCAGCATTTCCTCCAACTGTTTTGGTTGGGTTGTGTGTGTGCTATATTATTTTTTGGGGGCCAATTCTATCTTAGATGGTATTGTTTAAGATGAAGGTGGTCTGACCCCTTTAACCACTGCTTCACCAAAAGGAAATACCTCTTCTGAATGGATCTTTTGATGGATCTACCCTAGATGGGGACACCCTCAATGTTTTACTGGTACCAACCACGTCATTGGGCAAGGTAACCACAGAGAATGTCTGAGGTCTGTAAACACCATTGATTTTTGATCAAGAGTCGTATGCCCCAGGATAACCTGATGAAGTGTTTCTTAGCTAACCTCCATTCTTCTTGATGCCTCTGTTCCCACCGCCGCCACAATGTTTAGATCACTACCCTTCCCCGGTTTCACCCTGCAGGACATGTGCACCTGTGGGCACCAGCAGAATATGACAGTTGGTGTATCCTGCTGGTGCCCACAGGTGTCCATATTCTACAGTTGGCGCTCCAGTTTCTGATGAAACTCAGCTTACAATCAGACTGTTGACGACTGTTGCGTTGAAGGATGGTGGGTTTGCAAATCCCACGTGGTTGACACATGGGAATCGATAATAATGCATCTTGATGGTTTCCAACATCACCTACGCCGGAATTTCGCTTGTCGTCTGGGTGCAGTGGCTTCTGCCAGATTCTGCCAGGACCCACTGCACTGATACGAATGTGGCATTGGCGCCTTGGTCTGGACTGGTGTTCAAATTCTAGCAGTGTGCAACTGCTGAGCGATACGGAATCTTTCTTGTCCCTCACACAGTTGCACGCTGCTGGAATTTGGATCTCAAATTTGGATATCAACATGGGTTTGGGATGAATCTGGTGGTGGATTTCGATGTGAGCTCTCGATGACAAGGATCATACTTTTGGAGGCTTGGCTTGATAATGGGGGCCGGTTTTCCACCAGGAAATTTGTGTTATTCACAAGTTTTGTAAGGGTTTTGCACTGAAAAATCTGTGTTTCTCACCAATTTTGTATGGGTTTCACAAGTTTTGTAAGGGTTTTGCACTGAAAAATATGTGTTTCTCACCAATTTTGTATGGGTTTTGCACTAAAATTGACACGTGGGGTCAGACCACCAAGCATCATTTTCTATGGGGTCAGACTTGAAGGTATGGTTTCCAATGCCCAGATGCTTCCAACTTACCGACGCCCCCCTCGGTAAGTTGCACGCGGCCCATTGGTAAGTTGAAACTTTGGATTGGTAAGTTCGTGCCCCTGGGTTGCTGCTAGTGGCTCAAAATATCTACCTTTTCCCGTATTGCCGCTTGCAATGGGGATGAAACGGCCTGCTGCAGCAAAATGTGGTCTGACCCAACCTGCTCAGAAGGAAAAACCGGCAAACCATGGTCTGACCCAACCTGTTGAGAAGGAAAAACCGGCAAACCGTGGTCTGACCCAACCTGCCTGGAACAAAGGAAAAAAACCCAGCAAAACAAGTAAGCAACACGTGTTCATCCCCAAAGAGCAGCTAGAATTGTTTTTTGCGGTTGCTTTGTTTTTTACTGGGCCAGTCTACTGTGCCGCTTTATGGCTGTGCTTGGTGACATCCCGGCGCATCAGCGAAACCCTGCTACTTCGTGGAACAGATGTGCAACTGATTGGAGGCGATGAACACGATGCTCCTCATATACTTTACCAACAACGTGTGGAAGATCGCCACTTGCGTGGAAACGGAAAGCTGGGGAAGGAGCGCTTGGTAGCCAGGTTGTCCAGCGACGCTGTATTGGGATTGAAAAGAATGCAAGAAAAGGGCCTGGAATGGGAATGCTTGCCTGTTCTGGAAAGCTACCGCGCCTTCCACCCTGAAACTTTCAATATGAAACCAATGCAGAAAAAGGCCTTCATTGTGGAAAGCACAGAAGATTATGTTTTCCCTTCCCAAAGCAAAAAAAGGGATGCAGGCCTAACCTGGCTAGACAATCCATCAATGCGGCGATGACAAAAATCAGAGAGGTGATGTTTGCATTGACAAAGAATCGTCGATGGAATCCAGGAAAGAGATTTCAAGGGAACCGGGTCACAGTGCACGGGGCAACCAGACACACAAGCGCGCACCTCCTACTGTTCAACCCATCCTCTACTAGGACAAGACCATCGGAAGAGGTCATCATGGAGATCCAACAAAGGTCCGATGCTCGAGTACTTCGGAAACATTATTTTCACGCTGATGATAGCGAAGTGAAGGATGCTCTTGAATATGGTTCCGCTCCTAGCCCATTTAAGCAATGTGATGGTCTGACCTCACGTGATGGTCTGACCTCACAGCCATTATCGCAGGAAAGCACGAAAACCCTGGAATGTCCCAACCCCGGTCCTCAGCAAAGCTCTACGGCCAGCTCGTCCACATCCAGGCGTCCCATGGCAACAGCGAGATCTCAAAGGCGTGTGCAGGAGGATTGCCCAAAAAAACAACATGAATATTGCAGCCGCAATGTGACATGACTGTTGAATTTATCATTTTTTTCATTTCATGTCAAACATGCTTAATAATAAACCATATGTTTGTTGACACATATGTGACTTTCTAACTATGTCAAATCTGATTTGTTCATTGTTTGTATTGGTTTTGTCATGCAACACCTGAGGCTTTCCGGAAGCACCAGCGGAAGCAAAAACAACATGACAAGAGCATGCCTGGTCAGTGAAGGTCATGGAGTCAATGCCTTTTAATTCCAATTTCGCCAGGTCAGACCATAGCGTTTGCAGTATGATGAAAAAGAAGCAGTTTGCTGGCTGGGACCCCTTGTGAGTTTGGTGGTTCTTATGGGCCCCTCACAAGTTTGTGGTGTTAGCCCCTGCTTCCCTGGTACAGTGGTGTGGTCCCCCTGCTATGCAAGTTTGTGGTCTCCGGGCCCCTTGCACAGGTTTGTGGTACCATGCCCCCAGGAATAATTTAAAACAAAATTGATAGTCAATTAATAATATATCAATTCCTACAAGTGTTGTTGACATAAGACATTGAATCCAAATGGGTATGGCCAAATATAACCAAATCAAATTTGTTTCATGTCCCCAAAACACAACATGGTGGATTGCAAATATACCAGGTCAACCCTGCCACCGCTGCACTATTGCAACATTTTGCTGCACATCGATCGCAGCGCTGTGAGGTGGAAAATCCCTAGCCTAGCTGCAACTGAAAACGTGAAAGGCTCGCAGCCTGTCAAACGCAGCTGCATCTTCCATGCGAAGGCTAAGGACGTTGGGCGGGATGGCGGCAAAAAGCCAGGTCAGACCTTTAGCCTGCCCACCCTGTAACTTGAATTAATATCCTGAGCTGAGTGGGTAGCCAGGTCAAACCATAGCCCCCTGCCAGAGTCATCCTGGACTGTTGGGTAGTCAGGTCAGACCATAACCCCCTGCCAGGGTCAGACCACCGGTCAGACCAAGACATGCGCCCCCTGGCTGTGAAGGCGATAGCTCTCGCTCCACTCATGCCACGAAAAGCGGAGCGGCATGTCCTCTGTTCTCAGGTAAGAACAGGGCATGTTCCAGGGGGTCGCACGCCTGCCTGAATGCAGCGCCCAGTGGGACCTGGGCAAGCGGTGGGGGAATGGCTGCAAGCCCACCTCCTGGCAGCCCCTCTCAATGTACCACTGGATGATGCCCTTCAAGGTGTCGACGGTGGGGACCTCATCACAATTGATGCGGAAAGTCACCTGGGCATTCTCCAGTCACCACCATTTCAAAAGTTGGACCCGGGGTCAGACCACCGAGCCCAGGACCCGAGGTCAGACCATCCGATCCGTCAGTCAAAGCTGGGACCGTTGTCGCACCGCCGGCATCAGACTCAACAAAAATCATAGGGCCCACGCCTGGCAGTACGACCAGCGTACCATCAGGAGCGTGCACAAAGGACCATTCACTTCCGGCAGCGGAGGACGCCATTGAAGAGAGAGGGGCGACGTGCCACAAACACGGGGGCAGAGAAGCGCGGTCAGAAAATGGCTGCGGGCTGTGAACCAAAGGACAAAGTAGTGCAAACATCCACGGACATGAGCACAAACAAAATCACTCAGCAGAACACTCGAACTCCCTTCGCAACATCTTGAATGGTTGTTTGACCCCATATCTAGAGTTGGTGGTCTGACCCCAAATCTAGAATGGTGGTTTGACTCTGACTTACCCCTCTTCAACATCATGGTTTCACCCCAAATCTTTCATGGTGGTTTGACCCCAAATTACATTCTTAAACATGGTGGTCTGACCCCAAATTACATTCTTAAACATGGTGGTCTGACCCCAAACCCGTGATCACGACTCCACATGAAACTGCCACTGGAAACATTTCCAAAAAAAAATTGGAAACAAATGAAAGATGGAAGTAAGTTGTTTCAAACATATTTATATATTTTGCATGTAATGCGATTTGCACATTTTTTGCAAAGCACAGACTGCGGAACGCTTGCATTTTTGTCACCTCTCTGGGATCTTGCACTTTCGGTTCGGCCAGCAAAACTTGTCCAAATGACACGCGGCTCTGAGATTGATGCGTGGGTCTTTAAACCTTACCAATTAGCATCTTCGTCTTCAGAGTCATCGGAATCATCTGATTTCTTCTTTTTGTTCTTCTTTTTGGTCTGTTTTTTCCTCTTCTTTTTCTTGTCATCTGATTCTTCTTCTTCTGATTCTTCTTCCTCAGACTCTTCATCTTTGTTCTTTTTTCTCTTTTTGGACTTTGGTTTTGCTTTCGGATCAGGATTGTGCCCAGAGGTCAGACCATCGGAGCTTCCAGCAGCCACCGAGGTCAAACCATCAGCGCCGACCATCATATTTTTTGCATCCTCGCGATGCAAAGTGTGCCCCTTTTCCGTAAATTTGGTCAGCACATACTTGGTCAATCTCTCTTCCAGCGCCTCCGCGTGCGCTTCGGTGCAGCAAAATGCCACAATGGGGGTGCGTGTGTCCAAGCACGCCTGGGCCATCTCTCCTTGCCCTGCGAACAAGTCAATGACAGCATTGCAGCACAAGCTGTGCAGCAAGTCCGTGTGGAACTTGGTTGGGAGGCGCCCGGCGCTGAAGACGGACTCCACCCGAGCATCATTGGCCACAACCGCTTGCTGCTCCTTGTTCAGGCCTTGGCTTCAATAATTTAGAGGATTTGTGTTTGAGGAGCAAATAAATAAAAAAATAAAAACTGACGAATCCAACAAGCAACTGATCTGCTCAGCGGTCGTGAGCTTCAACGCCTTGGGGCCCAGAATCTTCTCCTTGTCTTTCCGGGTAGCTTCCCACAAGGAATTCGGCTGGAGACATGTCACCCACCCCATGACATTCCCTGTGTTGAATCCGTCATAGTGCAGCCTTCTTTTCTCTGGGACTAAGCCAGGAATCAGGGTCAAACCGCTGAACAAGTGCAAGTAGCTGTCGCATCTGTAGGCCTCTGATCCTTTGATGCGTTTCTTTCGGCTGCGCACAGATTCCTCCTGGAAGACAACCATGATGTCTTTCTGTTCACAGTCGATGGTGTCACCTCTTGTCGCTGCAGCAAGACGAAAGATCTTGCGCAACTCTGAGATTGCTCCTGGTCTGTCTGAGGCTGCGTGGAAGCACACAATCTCTCCGGGAGCAGGGACCGTTATCTCCCCTTGGTCGCTTTTCACTTGGGCCCCACGGGCCAGCATCGTGGCTTGGATGAGGCTCTTGATTTCACCGTTCCCGTCCAAGGGCTGCAGCCTCCGAAGGCCAATCTGCGAATTGACGCCCATATTCTCACCCATATAATCCAGGTCACACCAAGTCAAGCACGACCTGACAAGAGGCATCCCTACATTTCGATTGCACGTCCATGGCTAGGGTTCCCAATGTTGTTGCAAAAAAATGCATTGAAATAAACCAAAAAAAAAGAGTCCATTCAACAAGCCTCTGGCCCTCCGGCACAATGACATCTTTGAGGCAAGAGTTGGTCAGCTCTCTCTGCATTTGCCCTTGTGTGGCTGGCAGCACCATACATGAAACATACCGCCTCACAGTTGTGTTCGCCAAACTGTTCCAATACTCCTGGCTGTTCTCCACAAACTCATTGGCTGCCCGACGCATTTGATGGAGAGCGGTCTCTGCCGGGGCGTCTCCGTCCTCCTGGTCTTCCATCTTGTCCCGCACCTTCTGCTCTGCCACTTCATTTTCTCGGATGGAAATGACCTTGGACCATTCCTCCTTGATGATCTCATTTTCGGCCACTTCTTCGACGTTCTTGTGCCCGCGGGCATGCTGCTTTAGCTGATTGTCGAATTGTTTGTTGAACACCAGCTTCTGACAGGGCAGTTGCAAACAACATGGTGAAAAAACATTGGTACTATGGCTTGCTGAAATCTTCAAACATCTAAATGTGCATTGAAATGAAAGGCACATGTTGTGTTTGGAAACCTGCAGATCCATCAGGCCTCAAGAAACTGCAATGCCTCCAAAGAGCTGCGGGCGAGATTGCCTTGCCATGAGACGTCTGAGCCCAGCATCTCCTGCCGATACGAAGCATGGTCCTGCAAGACTCGGCGGATCACTGCCCGGTCCTTCTCCAGGATGTTGGCGCGGGCCATCATGGATGAGAGCCAATGTTCCAGGCAAAGCATCTTCAACTCCAGGAGCGGAATCAAACCGCAGGTGTTGCGATCACCAGTGAGAGTGTTCTTGGTCACCTCATCGTTCGTCAGCAAACTGCGGACGAGCCAGTCATAGATTCCCTGCATCACCCAAACCCGCCGATTGGGTTCAGGTTTGGTTGCCAAGAGATGCAGTTTGCTGAGGGAGTTGAAGCAAGACTTTGTTCCAAATTTTTCTTCCATGGCTAGAATGGGACCTAGCATCTCGGGGCCTTTCATCTTCTCATACACCTGGGTTGCCAGTTGCACTAGATTTGTGGTGAGATCATCCTGTGAAGAAGCTTTCTTGAGGCCAAATTGCTTCAACTGATTGACGAGCTCCGCTGGTTGAAGAGTTCGTCCTACATCGGACTCCATGCGCTTCTTCAGCATGCTGATCTCGGTGGCCTGCTGCAAAGCTGATCGGCTCAGAGATTCATACTCCTGTGTGAGCTGGTTGCGGCAATTCCATGAATGAATCCAAGTGTTTTTTGCGCCAGCCACAAAGCAGAATGGGACTGACCTCAGCACAATTTGCCATTCCTCTTTGTGCTCTGGGAGGTCTCTGGCAGCCGCATACAGAGCAGCATGCGCATAGCCTTCCGGAGAAAGCATACCCAGAGCTGATGGTCTCTCTGGCACATCTGTTGGGGCTTCCACCTCCAACAACTTGAGGAGGAACATCGGTTTGGACTGGTTCTTGGGCCACAAGAAGTCACCTAGCTGGCATACACCATGCCTTTGTAGTGGTACTCCTGGGCTTGGGGATCTCAGAAAATCCAACCAGAACAAGTTCCCAGCGCAAATGTACAAATTCTGGTTCCCAAGAGCCCTCGTGGCGCTTTCCTTGTTGAAAGGTTCTTGGATGCCGCCATCTCCTTGTTGATTTCCTTGTGCGATTTGCAGCGCATCTTTGTTGGCAAAATCCGGTCCCAAACACTTCAAAATTTTCCTCATGTCTTCTTGGACTGATTGGTAATAGCTTAGATTGACTTCAGACACGTTGCTGGTGGACAACGGTGCCATTGGGGTCAGACCACCGGCACCTCCAGCAGGGGGCAGACAAATGGCACCTCCAGCAGGGGCTTGGCCGGCATTGTTGCCGGTTGGCGAGGACGGGGCCTGGGCGTCATCTCTCGGTTGGGCGCCATCTTTCGCCTTTTTTTTGGCTTCTGCTGATGCCTTCGCTTTGCCTTGTTTCATGATTCGGGTTTGTTCAGCCCTGTACTCATTGATCTTCGCCTGCACATTGTCAGATCAAACATCGCCATGTTTATACAAACACACAATGTTCAGCAACATACTCTTTGCCATATCCCGTGCCTGCCGATCGACCTCGTTCTCTGATCCATCCGGCGCCAGCTGCTCTTCGAAAGTCTTCACAGCCTCATCGATTTTAGCCTGAAATTTGCTGGATGGGACATTATTGCGTTTGATATTTTGAAAACTAAAAAAATTAAAACATGATTTCAGACTATCGGTCCTGTTCAAACTAAAAAATTAATAACATGATCTCAGACTATCGGTCCTGTTCGGCTCCAGAAAGCCGCCACGCCGACCAATTGGAAGGCACGCCATCAGGCAATGGAGCTTTATTCGCTGCTTTTGGTGGCATGATGGACCTGCAAAAACCATCACGTGCCACTGGCTGCAAGACAGCTGTGGGCCAAAACAGATAACCATGCACAAGGTCATAAATCTGTGCACAGAAATGTCCTTCACACTAGCAAGGTGCTGAATTAGCTGCAACAAAAACTCATCCAAGATACTTACGTCAGCAACTAAATTTCCACAGCATTCAATTTTTTTCTTCGCAATGTATCTACTTGGTCTTTGTACAGAGCGATTTCGAATGCAGGAGTCGGGTCAGACCACAACCCTGGCCAGCTCAATGAGGATCCGATTTATTTCCTTGGCCGAAACAGTTGCCATGCTCGATCTGCTGCGCTGCGGGTAGTGGCTGAGTTTACCCAATGATCTCGGGCTGCGGCTTCCTCCCGGGACACGTGGCCCAAAGAAACCATGCACTCCAGCAAAATTTTTCCCAAAACATTGATGGACATGGCGTCCCCCAGCGATGCGCCAACAGTGGATTCGTCAAAGGACTTGAGCAAAGAATTCAGCATTTGCTCAGGCCATCCTTGCAATCGCCCTGCCTCTCGTACAGTCAAACGTCTGTCCAACTTGGGCACAAAGAAACCAGTCTGTTTGCCTTTGAGGCGGCTTCTAGTCAAACAAGGCACAACATATTTTTTGGCCGACTGAAACGCCTCGCTGCTGCCAACATCCAATACATATGGTCCTTGGCGAACCCTGTCTCCATACTTTCGCACATAGTTTTCTATGTTGCACCGCTGGCCAGGCTCACCACGGAGATGCGTGTCCAGAAACTCCTTCAACCATTTTTTTTTGAACTCCACTTTCTTCGGCCAGTGAAATCTCGTCACAATGGCATCCTTCAGCAAGGCCACAATGTAGACACGTTGGCGGCTCTGAGGAATTCCATAATCCAATGTTGAATGAAGTTTTAAGCGAAGTGTGTACCCCAATTTTTCCAAGACATCCTTGATCAGCTGTCGGAATTGCTGATGTTTTTTTTGAAGGAGTCCTTTGACGTTCTCCAAGACCACACAACTGGGTTTGTGATGGCAAATATATTCAAGGCCATACAGACCGATTTGTCCTCGTGGATCCTGCACGCCCTTCTTTTTCCCAAGAACACTGTAACTTGGACAGGGGTAGCCAGCCACATAGACATCACATGATGGGGCTGTTGCGGCATTCCTCTTTGACATATCTTTGCACACGGGAGAAACGTCGAGATCTAACAGGGAGCAAACATGGCGATATAGTTTCCTCTTGTCGGGATCACTATCGGACCACATTGAAGTTTCGATTTGCTCGCGAAAACCAAACAGAGTAAGAGCCGCTAAATCGGATCCCATTCCTGCACAGTCGCTCCCCACACGAAGTTTACCTCTTCCAGGTCGACTTGCGCTGGGCTCACCAGCCTTTTCTTCGGCCAAATTGAGAATGCGATCGAAATGTTTTTTCATTTCTGCTGATTTTTTTGGTTTGCTGCCCAAGGTCAGGCCATCAGACTTTCTGCCCGAGGTCAGACCATCAGACTGCTTGCTGCCCGAGGTCAGACCATCAGACATGTTTTTTTTTCTAGTTGCCAACTTGGACAACATGGTCTAAGGCGGCGAGTCTGAGTTCATCTCCGAAAATGAATTGCTAATGATACTTATGCTGACTTGCTTATGTCTTTTCTATCAGTGAGATTGGCTGCTGTTACGGTAGTAACTGACACTGACTATCAGTGAGATTGGCTGCTGTTAAGGTAACTGACACTGACTAATCCAATCAACGTATGTGCCTGTGAGCCAGACTCCGGAAGCAAGAGCGTTGGATTGTATTCTCTGACTACTCCAAGGTCTAGTGTCTCTGGAAAGTAGCGTTTGTACCAGCGTAAATGCGTAAGGGGAGTACGAACTTCATACTCCCCTTACACGGAGCCGGCCCGGGCTGGCAATGTGTAAGGGGAGTATGTAAATGCGTAAGGGGAGTATGTACGCTAGCGGCGCTAGCGTTCATACTGTCCTTACGCGAAAACCTACTCCTCTTACGCGGCCCCGGCCCGGGCTGGCAATGTGTAAGGGGAGTACGAACTTCATACTGTCCTTACACGGATGCGTTCACGTTAACGCTGCTTACGCGGCCCCGGCCCGGGCTGGCAATGTGTAAGGGGAGTATGTAAGGGCCAAAATTGGTCTACACTTAACGTCGCCCAAAATGGAACATGTAAAATGTTAAGTTTGCATGTTCGCGGGAACTCCACTGAACTTTTTGGTGTTCCAATTTCCAATGCTCAATGCTGTATTTTGCACTACTTGGTCTAACACAGCAGAACAAAAACAGCAATGCAGTCATAACTGAACATGACCCTCGGTCAGTCACACAATTGAATTGGTGCAAGAAGACTGGCTAACGCACTTTTTCAACAGACTTGCTGTCATCATCCCCGGCAGCAGCATCACCCTAAGACTTGTCAGTCAAGAGCGTCATTGTAGCCAAACGCTCAAAAAACTTTCAGAAAACTTTCAGCTGTGTGCACACGCACCCCTGGTTTGCTGAACGAGCGTTTTTTTCCTCCCATTTAGAAGTGGGTTCTGCATGGATGTGGTGTTACAGGCACGCAATGATCTGGACGTACTTGGCTTTAAAATTATCACTCATGAACAACTTCAGATGAATTTCGATTCCTGACCTGTACTGCAAAACAAAGACATGTCGTTTCACTGTCAAGAAGTCGCGGGCGACTACAGCCCCTCCTCGCAGCATCATGTGCCAAAATGCACGTTTTTCTGGAGAGCTATTGGTTACAAAGGCCACGTTGGCCTCATCCAAAGAAGAAGTTGAGGTGGTCAGACCAGCCTGCACAGCCGCTTGACGTTTTTCAGGCGAAGCTTCGTCGTCGATCCAAGCAGTGCGTCCTTGCAGTAAAACATAGAAGAAGTGAATCGATTTCTTCTCCTGTGCCAACTTGCACATGTTGTCCATATAGGCCTGCTTCTTGATTCGCTCTCTGTCGTTCTTGGCCTCTTCTGCCTTCTGTTTCTGGATGTCCTTGCGGCTAGGCTTCTCGGAATCCAGAAGAAAATTGTTTTCAAAGGCTTCCACACGCCTTTTTTTCACTTCCTGGAGGCACTTTTTTTTCCTCCTTTTTCATTGCAACATCGAACTTGTAGCCTCTGACTGGGTCTCTGCCTTCTTCACCTTGGCCCCCTCTGGTCAGACCAAGAGAGGACGCTTGGCCCCCTCCGGTCAGACCACGAGAGGACGCTTGGCCCCCTCTGGTCAGACCCTTCAGATCGGCTTTTCGTTTTCGAAGGAAGGCTGCCTCTGTGTTTTCGGGCAGTGCAGAAATTGGCTTCTTGCTTCCTGCATCAAAACGCGTCTTGCGACCTGATGTTTTGTTTTTGGCCACATAGCATCTGTTTTGCGAATGCAAAACTCGGGCAGCCTCAACTAAAACTTCGTCGGTCTTGAAGGAAGCCCCTTCCTGAGAAGTCAAACCCAGCACGGACCTGCGAAACGTGTCTGCAGAACCGCTGTGTCGATGCAAATGGTTCCTCTCAATTTTGGAAAAAGTTTGCTCCATGCCCGATGTGGAAGCTGTCCATGACAAGAACGCTGAAAGAACCTCACATTCAACTCATACTTTACCGGGTTTATGTGAACATTATTATACTTCTTTTGGATTTTGTTGGGCATTGTTGGGCATGCACCAAATCAAGTTCAAAACTGATGTGATCTTGTTGACAAGGAACAACCTCCAAGTTGTCCAAGTCCCAGGCTTGCGATGTTTTGGAGACGGCTCGCCTAAAGGCAAACTGCCAGGCTTGTCGATTGTTGCATCCGGCATTCTTATGCTGGGCAAAAGCAATGGGCCAAAGACGATCAAACTCAGCCTTCAGTTTTCCTGGGTTCAAGGCGAACACTTTGGCCAGGCGCGCGATACTGTCGGCCTTCCCTTCTGCGGTGCTGCTGCCCGAGTCTGGGCTCAAGTCAAACACTCGGAAAGCCATGACTGCATCAAAATCTGGAAATTCAGCCGCGATGGCCGCCCTGATCAAGTCTATGGAACGCCGCATCGTTCGCAAAGCCTTGCGCTTGGCCACATCTGCCCTAAGGGCACTGAGTGATCTTGCACCCCCCTTCACATAGAAGGTAAAGTTGCCGCGCTTCAAGAGCTCAAAGCAATGTTTGGTGAAGCCTTCAATCTCAAACACTTTGCCTTGGACAAACATGGCCTCATCAGGGAAATTTGAAAACCATGTTTGACATAAAAACAAGTTTCACACGCTGCGACCCATGATTGGCAACACGGACCTCCAGCTCCTGGTCAAAGCAATAGACCTCCTCATTGATGCGGCTGATGTCCATGTCATCACGGTCAAAAAACCGCGTCAACTGGATGCAAGAGCTTGCCAGGTCAGTGGCCATTCCCAAAGTGAACAACGCTGCCTCATCAATGTTGGCCATCCAAGACTCCGCCCATGAAGCCCCGCCGGCAGCCGCAGCTCTGTTCAAGACATTGACGATTGCGTCAAAATGAAGCACAAACCTTGCCATCGGTTTGGAGAAACTGCAGAAGCGATGCTTGGCCGCACTCAAGTGCGACCCGCGGCTGAATTCAG